ATGTTGTAAGGAGGGACCGGTCCTTGGAGAGGGACATCGTGCTTGGTAGGGTGGAGGGACAGCGCAGGAGGGGAAGGCCCTCTATGAGGTGGATTGATTCAGTGACTGTGGTAATCGGTATGGGTGTATCGGAGACAGTGCGACTGGCACAGGACAGAGCAGAGTTTAGGGCTGTTGTACATAGGGTCACTATGAGTCGCAAGTGACTCGACGACACATAAAAACAACAACATCATTAATATCACATACAAGTAAAATACTGGTGAGGGTCATTTTAAAAAGGCTAGAATAGTACATAGATAGGGAACTGCCAGAAGTTCAAGCATAACTTAGAAGGGGCTGCAGCACCAGGGATATCATGCCTGATATTAGATGGATCCTGGCTGAAAATAAGGAATACAGGAAGAATGTCTATTTGTGCTTTATTGACTATGCAAAGACATTTGACTCTGTGGATCATAATAAGTTGTGGCTGACACTGAGAAGAATGGGAATCCTAGAGCATTTGATTGTACTCATGTGGAATGTATACCTGGACCAAGCAACTGTTGTGTGAATGGAGCAGGGGAGCACTACATGGTTTGGAATTGGGAAGGGAGTGCACTGGGGTTATATTCTCTTTCCATAGCTATTCAATTTGTATGTTAAGCAAATTAACCTAGTAGCTGGATTCTATGAGGAAGAGTGTGGCATCAGAATTGAAGGGAAACTCATCAATAATGTGTGTTATGTAGATGACACAAGTTTATTGACTGAAAACAAGAATGACTTGAGGCACTTGTTACAGAAGATCAAGGAATGCAGCCTTTGGTATGGATTGCATCTCAATGTCAGGAAAATAAAGATTCTTACCACTGGACTGATTCGCAGTGCCATGATGGATAGAGAGGATATTGAAATTATCAACAGCTTCATCTTGCTTCGATCCACAGTTAACACCCTTAGTAACAACAGTCAGGAAATAAGGAGACACATTGCTCTCTGAAAATCTGCAGTTAGTGACCTTTCCAAATTATTGAAGAGTAGTGATGTCAGTTTGAAGACTAAGGTATGTCTGATTCAGTTCATAGTGTTTCCGATTGCTTGCTATGCATTTGAGAGCTAGACAATGAATAAGGATGACAGGGAAAGAATTGACACTTTTATGTTGTGGTGTTGAAGAGCACTGAACATCCCATGGATGGACAAGAGAAGAAACAGATTTATCTTGGAGAGGGAATCAAGAATGATGAGGCTTCCACCTCACATATTGTGGGCATGTTGCTAGGAGGTGCTATTCCTTGGAGAAGGACATGATGCTGGGAAGGGGAGAGGGCTGGCAAAGGAGAGGAAGACTCTTAACCAGGTGGATTGACACACTGACTGCTACAATCAGTTCTTGTGTGTCAAGAAGTGTGACAGTGGTACAGGATAGAACAGGATTCATATCTTTTGTTCATAGGGCCACTAGAAGTCATACTCAACTCGACAACAGCTAATCAATGATAACAAAAACAACAGGCATCTGGAAGTTAGATGATGAATAAGGATGGTAGAAAAACAACAAATGTCTTTGAATGGTGGTGTTCGAGAAAAGTACTGAATATTCCATAGACTGCCAAATGAATAAACAAATCTATCTAGAGGAAGTGTAACCAGGATGTTCTTCAGAGGTAAGGAGGGTAAAATTTCAACTCACATACTTTGAGCATGTTGTCAGAAAGGACCAGTCTTTGGAAAATGACATCATGCTGGGAAAGATGGAGGGTCAGAGAAAAATAAAAAGAAAGGTCCTCTCCAAGATGGACTAACATAGTAATGCAACAGTGGGTTTAAGCATATGAGAAATCATGATGATGGCACAGGATAGGGCAATATTCAGATCTGTTATTCACAGCGTTGCTATGAGTAATAGTCAACTTGATGACACCTAATAACAACCGTGGTCTGAGATAGTATTGCCCATGACTACAATCCTAATCCTCCCATAGCACAGGTGCACTGCTGTTTCCTACTGCATACACAGTGCTATTAAATGTGCCTGGGCTTCCTTCAACTGCCCATCTATTGTCTTTGTCCCAGTCTGGTGAACAGAAAACTCCTCATCATGCATGCAGGTCAGGGTTCAACCAGATTAAAATCCCTTTTTTGTTTGTTCTTTAAAATATTCAGAAGTCTATTTCTTTTATGACTAGGAGACTCATTTACCTGAAAACACAAGTGAAAACACTAAAATCCTTACTGTTCAATTTTAAATAGCCAAAATGCTTTTAAATGAAAATTATGAACATGTTTTAGTTATAAAAGACTGGGTATGAGAAATAACAACCAGTCATCTATGTTTGTCATGAAGTAGTAACTTGTGTATTGTTATGATGCTGTAAACTATGCCGTTGATATTTCAGTATTAGCAGGATCATCCATTGCGGACAGGTTCCAATGGAGCATCCATACTAAGACAAATGGGGAACAAAGTTCTAGTAATCTATTTCCAAAAATGAGCCAATAAAAATCTTGATTGTTGCTGTTGTTATTAAGTGCTGTCAAGTTGCTTGAGATTCATAGTGATCCTATGTACAACAGCTCTGAACCCTGTTTTATCCTGAGCCAACTGCACTGTATCTGACACACCCACCCCCATTACCCTAGTCTCCAAGTCAATCCATCTCTCTTCCAGGGCCTTCCTCTCTTGTGATGATGTCCTTCTCAAAGGACTGGTGCCTCCTTGCAATATACCTGAAGTATGTCATACAGACTTTTAGAATCCTTGCCTCCAAGAAGCAGCATGGTTTCACCCTCTCAAGAACAAGCTTGTTTGTTCTCTTAGCAGTCCATGGTATATTGAACATTGTTCTCCAGAACCACAACAGAATATTGTCTCATATTGTCCTGGGAAACAACAACGAAAGGTGGAAAGCCTACTGATGATGACAAAACTAGGACAGGACTGAGCAATATTTTATTCTGTTATACATGGGGACACTGTAAGTGAAAGCCAACTTGATGACAAATAAAACAAAGAGAAACAAAGTTTTGGAACATTTGGAGAACAATGTGGCTCTATAATGAGACAATAAAGATGATAAACAGAACTCTAAATTCACAGAAGGATGAACTTTTAGATGATAGAATAAGCCAGCAGAACAAAATGTTAATGGTAGAATCTAGGTGGTAGGTATACTAGTATTCACTGACAAATTCTTCCAACTTCACTGTACATTAAAAAGTTCTCATTAAAAAAAACCAACCAATAAAAGACAGGAAAAATTCAAATCACAAAGTTAACTAGATTTCTACTACTAAATTTGATTATTAGTTACTTGTATTGCCTAATTTTTGGAACTGAATTTCCAATATGCTTTCCCTGCACTAACACAGGCAACCTGTAAGCCTTTATTTACTCACTGGCTAGTGGGACATATTTGTTATACTGACTTCCCAGGCTTCAAAACTGGAGGATCAGCACTTGGCCTATGTGTAGAGACAGGGGCTCTTTGGGAGCAGGGTGAGGGATTCACTCCCCATCTTGCCTCATGATTCTTCCTCATAAACACCAGTCCTTAGCTCTCCATCCCCTCATGGTTTCGGACTCACTGTTTGCTCTCAGTCTCCAAGTACACAGTCATCTTCATATATTGGTCTTCCTTTCGCTCTTCCAAAGTGGCAGACACAAGAGAAAGCTCCCCAAAGAGGGAGACCAGCCAGGTCAAGCGAGAAATACCACTGAATGCTGGGAAACCAAAGCACTCTTCCGGCAAAGGGTGAGCTGTGAGAAATCACAAACATAGTCTGAATGGGACTAGGAAGTGACAGAACAGTGAGCAGGAGTATATAGGTGATCAGAAAAGTGTGACTTTACCTTATAGGTGTGAGTGAAAATGACTAATAATGCTGACAAAAACTTACCTGACTAATTTAACCTCCTTCATAAAAGCCTTTCCCCTTCCTTCTGTGTTTAAGCAAAAGTTTTAGGATCCTAGCACTGGTAAGTTAGTTAGTGGAAAGAAGCTGCACTGCAACCCCAAAGGCATTCAGTTTGAATTCACCACCTGCTCTGTGGGAGAAGGATGGGCAATCTTCTACCATGTGTTTAACCACCTTTGAAAACCTGCCAGAGGGTCAGTTATAAGTACGCAACAACAATAATACATACATATATTTTCATATCTGTAATAGTTTTTAGATAGTCAAATATTTAAGAAGCGTGTTATTAACCAAAAGTTTGGCAGCTGAAACCCACTCAGATGTACTTGATAAAAAAGGGCTGGCAATCTTCTACTGAAAATTTGTAACTATGAGAACCTGCTATTGTGTAGAACTACACTGCACACATGGGATTGCCATAAATTGGAATTAATTCAGTAGCAACTGGTTTTGGGTTATCTATCAACATATGTAAACCTATCATCTGTTAAGCCATCAAACTAACTACAATTCATAGTGGCTTCATGAAAAACAGCCTTACCCTATCATCTTCCACCATCCTCACAATCACCCTTATGCTTAAGCCCTTTCTGTGTCAATCCATTTTGTTGAGGGTCTTCCTCTGTTTCTGTAATCTTCTACCTTTCACAGAATAATGTCTCACTCTAAGGACTGGCCCTTCCTGACAACATGACCAAAGTAAGCATCACCATTCTTGACTACAAGGAGTGCTCTGGCTGTTCTTCCTCCCAGACTCATTTGTTTGTCCTTTTGAAAGTCCATTGTCTTCAACGCTCTTCTACAACAGTCCAATTCAAAGGCATCAATTCTTCTTCAGTCTTCCTTGTTCACTGTCCAAATTTCAGGTAATACCAAGCAACTGAAATGATGATTCCATGGGTCTGGCAAATCTTATTCTTTTAAACTGATTATTCTTGCTCTTTAGTACTTTGGAGAGATCCTTGACTGCATACTTCCGCACAATACAGTAAGTATTTTGATTTCTTGATTATACACAAAGCTACTTTGTGTTGACTGTGGACCAAACAAAATTAAATCCTTGAGAACATGAATCTTTTCTCTATCACAACATTGCCTACTGGTTCAATTGTGAATATTTTTGCCTTTGTGAATTTGAGATGTAAACTATACTGAAGTCTCTGATCTTCTTCAATAAGTGCTTCAAGTCTTTTCCATTTTCTGCAGGCAAGGTTGTGCCATCTTCATAATACAGGCTGTTGATCAGTGTCCCTACCTCCGTTCCTTTTGTCCCATTTTTCTTCATATAGTTCAGCTTCTCCAATGATTTGCTCAGTATACACACTGTATAGGTATAGAGAAAGAATACAACTCTGACACACCTTTACTGATTTTGATTACGAAAGAAATACTATCCATATATACCTAGAAATGCATACATATGCATGTACACACATATCTTTTCCAGCTATATTTATTTACTTTTTAAATTTAGACTGGTATAAAGGTGGAAAATATATTTCCATCCCTTGAACTGGTAGTCATATAAATATCATATAACTGTCAAGTAAATAGCAATGAATAACATTCTGTCAGTGTTGAGAATGCCCAAATCCCCCTCAAATAGGCAACCTCAATTTAAGACTAGTGTCAAGACTGTTCAGTAAGCAAGGTAAGCACATGATAACCTACAGTTATATACAAATAAATAATTAACATCAAAGATTTGTAAATCACATTAAAAATTCTTTTAGGTTTGGGTGGTGTCTTTCTCTCTCTCTCTCCCCCAAATCCATAATACCTTTCTACAAAATATTTTTCAAATTTGTAATCTCTGACTGGATAGATTACCCAGTCAGAAAGATAAACTCACACTTACTTATGCTTGCTAACTAATCTGCAGTGAATAACTGAAAATGTTTTTCACCACACCAACACTGTCAAATTGCTCTTTACAGTTTAATAAGTAAGCACAAATAATCTATGTATCCTGTATTAAGCAATCTGCCCTTGAGTATGACATACTCAAGTTATAAATATTCTTTTTAAAACATTGTCTAATTAGCTAATTAGGATGTCTCTCTGGGTAGAAAGTTGTGGGAAAATGCCTGTGGAGGAAAGCTGTTGTGTTACCTGAGTATGATCTAAACATTTGATCAGAATAATACTATGCAAGAGACCAGTGAGAAAACACCTATATGGTAAGCACACTGAATTCAGAACTTGGTCCTATCATTGTGAAGAGCTTATAGACCATGGAGATAGAATACTTACAGATTAGGATGTAGTTTAGTCTGAAGAGAAAAGTGTCAAAGTAGAAGGAAGTAATGAAAAAAAAGAGAGATTTCGTGGTTTTTTTTTTTTTGTTTTGGTGTGTTTCTTTCTTTTTTTTAAAGTGAAAGGATCCATTACAGTTTTTCTAAACTAATTCAGGGGCTTCAGTTGCTGGAAACATGAATCAAACACTGATCACTTAGCTAATTTTTTTTTTCACTTTGCTAAATTAACCAAACAAATCTGAGCCACAATGATAAATTACTACAGAATATATGGAAAAACAAAAGGACAACACAGATAACTCACTAATTTTCTAACTAGGAACAGCATCCTCATTCCAGGAGCAATCTAGATGATCCAGAATCTTCCATAAGAAAAATCACTGTTGTAACTGACAGAATACAATGTCCATATCTTCTTCTTCTTGAGAGTAAATGTTATGATTTTGGGGTTTTTTAATAGATGTATTGTTAGGTGCCATCAAGTTAGCTATGTTGGTTTATAGTGACTCTATAAACAGTAGATGTGAACCATGCCCTAACTTGCACTAGTCTCACCATCTCTGATACGCTTTGTTACACTCTGATATTCACTGTTACAGTCACTGTGTCAATCCACCTTGTTGAAGCTATTCTTCTTTCTTTGATCTTCCATCTTTCCCAGCATGTATCCTTTTCCAAGGACTAGCCCCTCCTAAAAACACGTGCAAAATATGAAGTTATAGAGATGTGAAATGAAGTTTCACCATCCTTGCTTCTAAGCAGCAGCTTGGTTGCACTTTCTCCAAAAGACTTATTTGTTCTTTTGGCAGTCCACAGAATATTCAGAACACTTCTCCAACACCATAATTCAAAGGTATCAATTCTTCTGGCATTCTTACTCATTGTGTAGCTTTCAGAAGCAACTGAAAAGACCATGACTTCAATTGGCCTCAACGTGGTTTCAAATGAAAATCCTTGCTCTTTAGCACTTTGAAGAGGGCCATGACAGTAGATTTTCCCAATGAAACACATCTTTTTTTAAAAACACATCTTTTAATTTTTTTACTACTATTACCATGGGTATTGATTGTGGATCCAAGTAAAATAAAGTTGCTGACAACTTCAATATTTTCTCCAATGACCAAAGCAGACAGAAGAAGAATTGATCTCTTTCAGTTGTGGTGCTGGAGAATAGTATCAAACATACTGCCAAAAGAATAGTATCAAACATGCTGCCAAAACAGACAGCCAAAAGAACTAACAGGTTTGTATTGGAGAAGGTAAAGCCAAGATATTTGTTGGAGGCAAAAGGATTTTGAGGTTCTGCCTCATATACTTTGGGCATATTGGCAGGAGGGACAACTCACTGGAGAAAGACATCACTCTTGGAATGATGGAGGGACAGCCCAAGAGAGGAACACCCTGGATGAGATGGATTTACACAGTAACTGAGGGTAAGTATGTCAGAGACAGTGTGACTAGCCCAGGATAGAGCAGGGTTTAGAGCTATTGTCATAGGGTTGCTATGAGTCACGGTTGACTCAATGGCACATAACAACAACATTATAATATATACTACCTAATGGTCTGTGATGAGGAATTTTTGCTTTCTTGATATTGAAATACACTCCATATTGAAGGTTGTAGTCTTTGATCTTCTACAGCTAGTTTTTCAAGTCTTCTTCACTTTCAGCAAGCAAGGTTGTATCATCTGCATAATGCAGATTGTTGACGGGTTTTCTTCCAATTTTAACATCACATCCTTTTTTTATATAGTCCAATTTCTCCAGGGATTTGCTCAGTTTACCAAAAGAATAAGTATGGAGTAATTATATCCACTTGGTGCACACCTTTCCTAATTTTAAATCATGCACCATTCCCTTGTTCTGTTCAAACAACTTCTTCCTGATTTATGTACAAGTTTCCCAACAAGCACCACCAAATGTTCTGGGATTCCCATTCTTCTCAAAGCAGCAGTGTCTAAAAAACCCAACAAAATCCAAAACTTGCTGCCATTAAGTCACATATGACTCCTAGCTGGCCCTCCAGTGGATTTTTGGAGGCTGGAAATTGCACAGGAGACTTTCCATCTTTCACCCTTGGAGCCACTAGCAGATTTGAACCATCAGAGGCACAGCCTTGGGGTTATCAGCACAACTGCCTACAGACTATGCCACCACAGTTCTCTGCCAGGAGATTTGTTTTTGCTTGTTATGGGCTACTGAGTCAGAACTGACTCATAGCTGACATTCCAGCAGGTTTTCAAGAGGCAGTAAATTGTATTGGAGCAGACTGTCCCTCTTCCTCTTACAGAGCAGTTGGTGGATTTGAACCACATCCATTTGCAATGCCAGCACAAATTTTTACCACTAAACCACTAAAGTTCCCTGGCAGGGGATAGAGGGTTCATATTCTGTTTGTTCTTCAACACGCTCTTCACCCCATTATTATCTCATTCACTCACTCATAACAACCTTATAGAACGGAGTAGAACTATTCCTAAGGGCAACGTTTCCTTAAGGTGTAAATCCTTCTGGAAGTTGACAGCCTTGTCTTTCTCTTATGGTATGGCTGATAAAGTAGAACTGCTGACCCTTCATCAGCATTCCAACATTGAATCTACTATGCCACCAGAGCTCTTTTGTTATCAAAGAAGAGTCTAACAGTGTGTTCCTTTAAAGCATCCATCTCCAAGTTCATTTTAAAATGAAAGGGTTGTTTGGTTCATGTACCCTGTGGAAATCTTAGATTTCATGATGAAAAATTTTTGCTTATCACGTTTGGGGCAGAAGCATAAATATCCTTTTAATTTCTAATACTTTTTTTTAACCTATAGCTCACTAATAAATTAACTCATTTGAGGAAAGGATAAAAATTGGCATTTTGGATTTATTTTTTTTTGCATTTTGGATTTTTTTTTTCATTAAAGCACTGGAAAATTAGATTACCTTGCTTCTGAATCAATCTTTAGGAGAAAAGAACTCACCAGGAGGCTGGAAGAAAGTCCAACAGGCTTTCCAGCCTACCCATTAGGGAGACTTTCAGTCCAAGAATACTGACCTGTGAAGAGGAGAGATCCTTTCAATAGTTCTTTCCCCACCACCTCTTTCTTCAGGAATGCAAATTCTTCCATCAAAAGTTCAACATGCTCCTCATGTAAGATTTTTCCTGTCACGACAAAAGTAAGAAATGCAGTCAGTTATTCAGGGACTCACCTAGAAGAACCCTCTATACCATTGTTCACAATAGCCAGAATGTGGAAACAATACAAGGGTTTATCAGCAGATGAATGACTAAGGAAAACATGGTGCACACACACAATGAAACACTTCTCATTCACAAGGAGAAATTAAATCCTGATGCATGCCATAACATTAAAAACTATATGATCAGTGAAAGAAAATGGTCAGTCAGAAAAGGAGAGCTATTATATGATCTCTTACATTAAATATCTAGAATAGAAAAAAATGCACAGAAGCAAATGATTATTAGTAGTTAGAAGGGGTGAACAGGAACGGAAAATGAAGGGTTATGGCTAAAGGGAGCTGAGGTACCGTGAAAGGTGACATACAAATTTTGAAGACGGATAATGTATTTGGTAGTACAATATTGGTGTTGTTATGTGCTGTCGAGTCGCCTGTGACTCATAGTGAACCTATGCTCTATCCTGTGCCAATCTCACTATCTCCGACACACCTACCCCCATTACCCCAGTCACTGAATCAATCCACCTCACAGAGGGTCTTCTTCTGTGCTGTCCCTCCACCCTCCCAAGCATGATGTCCTTCTCCAAGGACTGATCCCTCCTTGCAACATGTCCAAAGTGTGTCAGAAAAAGTTTCAGAATGTTTCTAAGGAGCAGCCTAGTTTAACCCTCTCCAGGATGAACCTGTTCATTTTCTTAGCAGTCCATGTTATATACAATACTCTTCTCCAACACTACAGCTCAACTCTCTGATGCATAGCAAGTGACTGCAAAGACCATGGCCTGTAACAGGCATACCTTAGTCTTGAGAGTGACACCACTGCTCTTCAGTACTTTGGAGAGGTCCCTAACAGCATACTTTGCCATCACAATGCGTCTTTTAATTTCCTGGCTGTTGGTGCTAAGAGTTTTGACTGTGGAGCCAAACAAACTAAAGCTGTTAACAATCTCTTCATCATCCATCCTGATGCTGCCAATTGGCCCAGTGGTGAGAATCTTGGTGAATGCAATTAACATCAATGGATTGTACACTTAAACACTGTTAAAATGATGGACTTCCTCTTATCTATATATTTTACAAAAAAAGATGTCTTCTTAACTTGTGGATAGTACTGCATTCCTAGTCATCCTCCAAAATAGAACAGTTTTCTGAACCACCCTTGGTACAGGGCAAGGGCAACATCACTTCAGCAATGATGGAGTCACTTTTACTTTCCAACAAAAATGACAAACTAAGAAAGAAAGAGGACATCTACTGTGCTCTGAAAGCAAAGGTGTTTTCAGTGACTTTATCTAATAGTCAGCCCAGTGTTAGACTAGAACAAGGCAGTACAACAAAAAATCTAGACCATAGGAAGGGTATCTACAGGTCTATACGAGGGTGCTAAATCAGGAAAGGTGAATGTCACCATTGTATCTTTTCTCTATACCTAATCACCTGGTAAAATGAGAAAAAAATTAGAGAAGTTGGACTATATAAAAAAGAATGTGGCATCAGAATTGGAGGAAGACTCATCAACAATTTGTGTTATGTGGATAACAGAACTTTGCTTGCTGAAAGAGGCCTTAAAACACTTGCTATACAAGATCAAAGACTACAGCCCACAATATGGGTTATATCTCAACATCAAGGAAACGAAAATCCTTACCGCTAGAAGAGTCCAATAAGCAACACACATCATGATAGCTGGAGAAAAGATTTAAGCTGTTACCAATGTCATGTTACTTGGATCCACAATCAACATCCATAATAATAGCAGTAAAGAAATTAAAAGATGTATTGCACTGGAAAATCTATTGTCTAGGACCTCTTCAAAGAGCTAAAAAAGCAAGGGTTTCAATTTCAAGACCAAGTTGCACCCAATCCAAGCCATGGTCTTTTTAGTTACTTCTTATGCATGAAAGCTGGACAATGAATAAGGATGACAGAAGAATTGGTACCTTTGAATTATGGTGTTGGAGCAGTGTTCTGAATATCTGTCCTAAAGCTCTGTGGGCCTGGTGGACAGAAAGTTAATACTACCAAGTCAAAGGTGGGTGATTTTAATCTGCGGCCCACAGGCCTGGTTTTCCTTGTTTTTGGTCAAACATTCTTCTAACTGGTATAGTACTAGTCTGCACATTTGCTGTACAGAGCTAACTTGTGGTTGCTGTGATGTTAAACATTGTGACACTGATGTGTCAAATGTGATAATGGTTACCCAGGGTGGACAGTGTTTGGTGGAGCTCCCCAATTAAAACAATTTTGGAAGTAGGAGTGACATTCACTTCTGAAATAGCTAGCTTTCGGAAACTCTACGAGCTTGGAGAAATGATGAAAGTTATACAAGTGTGCTGGTCTTTTGTTCATAGGGCTGTTATGAGTTGTTTACAACTCGACAGCACTTAACAACAACAACAATGGCTTGTCAAAAGAACAAACACACTAGTCTGTCTTGCAGGAAGTGTAACCAAAAGGCTTCTTAGAGGCAAAGATGATGAAAATTTATCTCACTTATATTTTGGACATCATGTTAGGAAGGGTCAGTCCTTGGAAACAGACATCATGCTGGGAAAGATGGAGGGTCAGAGAAAGAGGAAGGCCCTCAACAAGAAGGATTGACACAGTGACTGTAACAATGGGTTTGAGCATATCAAAGATGGTGAAGATGGCACTAGACAGGCCAAGGTTCAGATGTGTTGCTCATAAGGTTGCTTGATGGCACCTAATAACAGCAACAACTTCATTTCAAAGCACTGAAGGAGCCAAATGATTATTTTTTTTTAAATGGCTAAGGCTGGAAGGTAGAGAAAACCTTAGTATTAATAATAAAAATTTTTAGTTCTAAGAAAATGTAAAAATATTTAGCTTTTGTTATTGTTCTTTCATAGCTACATCAGAAATACCAACTATTCTGTTATTAAGTGCACAGTTTTATATGTTCACTGAAATGGTAGTTATACAGGCTACTTTGCAACTTTGTCAAAATTCACTGAACTCTGCAATCAAAATCTCTTCATTTTATTATCTGTAAATTATAGCTCAATCAAGAATTTTTTAAAAGACAAAGACCTAGGTCATTCAGCTGCTTCTGTAGAGGAAAAGAAACTTATTTCTAAGAAAGTCTTAAGCCATCAGGTTCTAGTTTTATAATTAGTTTAACCATTAATGCAAGTGATTTTTAAGAGTCTTTACCACTTCTTTTAAATGTGTCAAAGATGGCAAGCTATCCTGTCTGATTTGGGTGAAGGCTAAGCCTGCAGAAACATGTCCCCTAATTCTAAATACAAGTCCAGAAGAAGAGTAAAGGATGACCCTATATTGTCAACAGTGATTCATTGTATGTGCCTTAAATTTAGGAAAAAAGAAGAAAGACTTTCTGTTCCACTTATGATGTTCAAAATGCAGAAAGTAGCCTTAACTATATAATAGTGTATGGTATGATAACTGATGCTGGGACAGTCTTGTATGGCTCCTTAAGTGAAAATGTTCAGTTAAAGGTCTTGGGATACTCTTATATGAAGTTGAGATCTCTGTCTCTACAGTCTACCTCTTACCAATTGGAGCAGCACAGCAATCTCCCTTCCTGTTGGAGATTTTTTTTTCTTTAAATAAAATTTTTATTTTATACTAGTTTACTTACAAAGTTTGTATATGCTGTTTTTCATTTTGGATCTTTCCCACTTCCTTTACCCAGTCCTCCTTCCACCCATCAAATTGTGTGACACTTTGATTAACTCCCATCCTCTCCCATCTGTTCCCCCCACCCCCAGCATCCTCATACATGTTCTACAATAATGGTCCTTACAGGATTGAGAAAATTCATTTAGCATAATGCTTTCCAGTCCCTCCCAAGTTAAGTAGTAATTTACAAAATCATTGCTCCTGCATGCTGTATAGTATTCCATTGTATGAATGTGTCATAATTTCTCAAACCATTGGGTTGTGGTTGGACCTTTGGGATGTTCCAATATTCTTACAATGGTGAATAATGCTGCTATGAACATTGGTATACAAGTTTCCTGGAACTTTTAATGTTCCTAAGAAATGAAAAGAGGAAGCTCTGGCAGCCTAGCAGGTAAGGAGTTGAGCTATCAACCCAAAGACAGACAGTTTGAGTTCACAGGAAAGAGAAGGATGAGCAATGACCTCCTGTGTGATTTATAGCCTCTGAAAACATGCTCTAGGGCCTCCTATGTGTCAGCTCCAACCCAGTGGCAAAGAGCTTAAGAAATGCAAATGGTTAACTTGCTCAGCTGCTAACCTAAAGGTTGATGTGCCTGTAATGCCTTGGAAGAAAGGCCTGGCAAGCTAATGCTTTCAGTCATTGAAAACTCCGAATATAATTCTACTGTAACATACAGGAAATTGCCTTTAGTAAAAGTCACTTTGAAGGCAATCAGTTTTATTGGCGAGCTTTTACTATATATGACGGCAGCTATCAGATTTTCCATTAGCCTTTTGTTCTTTATGTTAAAATATCTCAATTTCTCCAGGTATGAAGTTGTTATTAAGATTGCCAAATTGCCATATTTATCCAAATTTTCTGTACCCTTTATCATTCAAAATAATATAACACATTTTTTAAAAATATGCAGGGGTAAATAAAATTAGTAACACTTGGGCAGTAAATTCACTTTAAGCAGAGGAGTTAATAATGTTGGCTGTGAAGATTTGTGATTGTTTGGCAGCAGGAACTGCTTAAGGCCAAAGGGTCATATTTATGTATCCCTATTACTGAGCACACTATTTCACACAACAGTAATCATATGTAAAATGCTAAACAGTCTATCTAAAGTAAGTTGAGAAGAATTCCCCACAAAACACAAATTACTTCATACTTAAGGGCTTCCTTCTTTTTAGAAATCAATTAGTAATCTGTAGATACCTGTTAGGCTGGACAAAGGGGGCCAAAGAGAAGAATGAGCATTCAGAACTCAAACACTGATGGCCTTTCCTGCCGCTGATAATAATAAGAGCAAA